GTGTGTGTGTGTGTGCGTGCACGTGTGTGTTCCTTAGCGTTTCCTAAGTACAGGGTCATCATTTGCAAACAGAGCTAGTTTTCTTTCTTCCCTTTTTTTTCTTCTTTCTTCTTTTCCAACTGAGATGTTTTTCTCACCGAACTGCTCTGCCTGGAACCTTTGGAACAATACTAAAGTGGCAGGAAGAGATGTCCTTGGGGAGTTCTGATACAGGGGAAAGCTTACAGTCTTCCTCTCATTAAGGGTGCCACTGGCTGTGATTGGGGTCCTAGCTTTTTGGTTTGGTTCACACAGAGTGAGGAGCAGTTGTCTTGGGGTGTATATAAAGCATGCACATGGGTAAATAATAAATTCCCTTTATTTTCCATGTTTTTATTATAACATTTTAAAAAAAGGCAGTAGAGACCTAAACTACTTGGATATTTGACTTTTTTTTTTGTCTTTTTCCTTTTTATCGGTACCAGGGATCAAACTCACGACTGCCTGCTTGCATGTCAGGCACTTATGCTGCTGAGCTAAATCCCCAGCCCCTTGACTTTGTTTTTGTGAAATGAATACATCAGCATCTGGTTCTATGGAACTAGTTCTTAGAAGTTTTGGATCTAACTTTACTGTTCACAAACTTTATTGCTGAAAATATTTGTCCCCAAATGTACATACTGCCACTGACAGAAGCAATGACATAACTAAGATGGGATTGTGAAGGAAGGGGTATGTCAGTGTCTTAGAAAAGTCTAGTAAAGAGATATCACTTTTCTTTTTGATTTGAATGTGTAATCGCCAACTTTGTAGATCTCATTTGAAAGTTCATTGGTAAGATATATATGTTGACTAAAAATAGTTACAAATATAGCACCTGCCTGGCAAGCACGAGGTTCTGAGTTTGATCCCTGGTACCGAGAGGAAAAAAAAAAAAAGGAAATTACTTCTACAAAATAATACAAGAAGTTGAATTTAAATGTTCAGATTTTTAAAAAATTATTACAGTAGCTGGGCATGGTGGTACACACCAGTAATCCTAGCACTCAAGAGGCTGAGGCAGAAGGATTACCGTGAATTTGTGGCCAGCCTGGGCTACACAGTGAGTTCAAGGCAAAAAAAAATTCTTTTTAAAAATATGTATTAATAGAAGATCCATTTCTGTGACACCGCCACCCCAGTGTCTGCCTCATGGCTTGGAACACATCCCATGGTTCTTGCCAATTTCTGCAGTACTTCTGGAAGCCCTCTTTCGTGAGTGTCTTTACTTGTGCTGTTGTGGCTGCCATGATGTCTCAAATTGATTCAAAACATTTCCCTTTCATTGTTCCCTTGACTTTGGGGAAGAGCCGCACGTCCCCACGGTGCCAGGTCCGGTGAACAAGGTGGCTGTTTTTATGGCCTGCCTGTTCTGTGACACTGAGCAGCAGTGCTCACTGTCCTTCTGGCCCTGTATGGGAAAGACACTCGGAGGACTTCAGAACCGCGTGTGGCCTGTGGGGCGCAGTTGGCACACTGCCCCCTATACCACAGGCCCTCACTGACCACACCGCCTGTACTCCAGCATGGTACAGTTTTTTGTTTTTGATTTTTGAGACAAGGTCTCACTACATAGCCAGGCTGGCCTTGAACTCTCAGCGACCCTTCTTACCTCAGCCTCGAGTGCTGGGATAACAGGCTTGTGCTTGTTTGCCCAGTGATCATGTGGATTTTGTCCTTTATTCCATTAACAGGCAGTGTTCACTGGCTGATTTCATACGTTGACCCTGCTTGCATCCCAAGGGTGGAACCTGCTCAAGCATGACGCATTGTCCTCTGTATGCTGCCAGGCTCCTCACCTGGTGCTTTGTTCAGGACCTCTGTGTCCATATTGTGACACTGGCCTGTAGTTTCATTTTATTCTCTTCGTATCTGTGTCTGAGTAAGAGTAATTCTGGCCTTGCAGAATGAGCTGAGAAGGGTTCCCTCCTCTTCGGTCTTTTAGAAGTGTATAAAGGATTTTTTTTTTTTTTTTTTTGGTACTGGGGATTGAACTCAGGACCTTGCACTTGCCAATAAGATGCTTTTGCTGCTGAGCTAAATCCCCGGCAGGATTGATGTTAATTTTTTTTTTTTCAGTTTGGGATTGAAGCTTGGGACACTACTGCTAAGCTACATTCTCAGCCCCTGCTCGCTTATCTAAAAACTTTGAGATCAGCTCTCATTACCTAGACTAGACTCAAACTTGCAATCCTCTTGTCTCAGCCTCCCTGGAGTTGCAGGAGTGTATGACATAGCCTGGCTATGTAATTGTTCTTTTACTTTTTCATTTGTTTTGTTTTGTTTCTGTTTTCTGAGACAGAATCATGCAATGTAGTTCAGGCTGGCCTTGAACTCATGGCAATCCTCTTGGCTCAGTCTCCTAGATGCTGGGATTACAAGGGTATAATCACACACCTGCCTGTAATTCTTATTTTATTTATATTTTATTTGCTAGAGATGGGGTTTGAGAGAGTTTCACTATGTAGTACAGGCTGGCCTTGAACTCACTATGTAGGCCAGGCTGGCCTCAAACTCATAGTGATCTTCCTGCCTCAGTCTTTGGAGTGCTGGGACTACAGATATGTACCATTATACCCAGCTATAAGTCTTATTTTAATGCTTGATAAGTAAAGTCACCTGCTGTTGGGCTTTTTGTGGGAATTTTATTGACTCCTAATTAAAACTCTTTACTTTTTTTTTTTTTGTCTTTTTCGTTTTTATCGGTACCAGGGACCACGACCGCACACTTGCAAGGAAGGCACTTATGCCGCTGAGCTAAATCCCTAGCCCCAAAACTCTTTACTTTTTATGACTATCCAAATTTTCTGTTTTTCCCTGGTTGATTTAAGGATTGTATCCATTTATTTCTTTGGGGAAACTTCATTCTCTGGCACATAGTTAGCCATGATACTCATGGTAGGCAGAACAATAACGAGCTCCAAAAGTTAAGATGCCTATGTCATCGCATGTGTGAACAGAGAGTCATGATGCTGATGGGAACGCAGTTGGGAACTGGGGTGTTTCCAGTCACGCGGGTGAGCAACCAAGGAGCTGCCGACACCAGAAGACAGGAACAGAAGTGAGGATGTGGTGAGAGACACTGTCTGTGCTCTGCCCTTGTGCCTCTGCACCCGTTCTCCCTCTGTCTAGCTGGCTGTTCCTCAAGTCACACTTGTGACACCCTGAGAGCAGGGCAGAGCCAGTGCTGGTCACCAAGGACTTCATAGAGTACTGCCTCTGTAAGTCTGAAATTCTTTAATGAATTAAAGAATATATAAAAAGATTAGAACATAGAGGGACCCTGTCTTGGAAAAAAGAAAAGAAAAGAGAGAGAGAGAGAGAGAGAGAGAGAGAGAGAGAGAGAGAGAGAGAGAGAGAGAAAGAAAGAAAGAAAAAGAAAGGGAAAGAAAGAAAGAAAAGGGGCTGGGGATTTAGCTCAGTGGCATAAGCACCTGCCTTGCAAGCAGGCAGTCGTGAGTTCGATTCCCGGTACCGATAAAAAAGAAAAAGACAAAAAAAAAAAAAAATTAAAAAAGAAAGAAAGAAAGAAAACAAATTACATGAAAACATTTTTTTGTTTGTTTTGAAACAAGGTCTCCTATGGTTCAGACTGGCCTTGAACTCACAGCAATCCTCCTGCCTCAGCCTCTCGAATGCTGTGATCAAGGCACCACACCACCACACCAGGCACAGTGTATTCAGTCTAAAAATTTCCCAAGCCCCTTAGTGCTCTGGAACCCTTTCTGTGATGTCAGAGCAGCGCACGCCTTTTGGCATCAAGCAGGAAGCTGTTTCACATCAGGACTGCCACAGAAGAGACCTTGGGGAGCTCTGCTGTCCCCACCCCGTGGGGAGAATGGCAGTGAGTTACTATTTACCTTCATGCCCCTCTCTCCCACTTCTCAGCGGTGCTGGGCTGGGAGTGTAGCTGCATGAGACCCCGGGTTTCACTCCCAGGACCGCCGGTCCTCTTGGGGGTGCTGGGGATAGAACCCAAGGCCTCTTGCACATAGGCAGTGCTGTCCCAGAGCTGCGTCCCCAGGCCTTTCTGTAATTTCCTCCAGGACCTTATTTAATTCAACAATTCCTGCTGGCAGACTGTCTGCTTCATTCACTGCACGGGGATCAGGCCAGAGCTTCATGCAGGCTGGGTCAGGGCTCTGCCACGGAGCTACATCCTGACCCCTTTGTGTGTGATTCTCTCTCAGAAAAAGACCAGAATGACTGCAGGTACGCATACCTACCTGTCATTTCATGTTTTAAAAATATTTTTAAGTTGTTGGTGTCAGATCTGTAGATGAGACACATCATAATTTTTTTTTTGGTGGTAGGGATTGAACCCAGGGCTTTGTGCATGTAAGGCCAGAGCTGTAGCATTGAGCCACACCCCCAGCCCCGTCATATCATTCATTTCTTTCTTTAACTGCTACCCTTGAGAGCAGAATGGACATGAATACTTTTTTTTGGGGGGCTGGGGATTGGATCCAGGGCCTTCACACTGAGCTCTATTCCTCGTACTTTTTTATACTGAAGCAGGGTCTCACTAATATTGTTGCTCAGGCTGGGTTCAAACTTGTAATCCTCCTGCCTTAGCCTCCCGGAATCCCAGGATTCCAAGTGTGCAGCTGGCTGTATTTGATTTGAATTTCTTAACCATCACATCCCTAACATTGTCCTACTACCAGGACAGCCTGGACAAGAGTGGACTGAGTGGAAAGATAGCAGAGCACACAAAGTAAGAGTTTTTATAAACAAACTCAAGTGAAACACACCCTGCAGTATTTCCGCAGAGCAGCATATGGATTTGGGCCACATGGCATCATCTGTCATGTAACTGTAGGGTTTCCTACCCGAAGTGATGGCGTGCTGGGCCTCAGGTCACAGGCTCAGTCTTATCTTTATGCCTCTCTGCCAATCGGGGTGGTCATTATGATTTCCCATCATGAATAACGTTTGGAGAAAGTTACCTGGCATGCTATATTGATAGTAAACAGAGTTACCTGGCATGCTATATTGATAGTAATTAGGGTCTTCGGCTTCTTTCTTCACGGTCACAGCTTCTGCCTTCAGGGAGATACCTTTGAACACAACAAAAATGGCACACTTAGGGGCTGGGCCAGACCCCCGGACACAAGCCACTCATACCACCTTAGCCAGGTTCGCAGGTGAACATAGCCACAGCTCAGCCTGTGAGGGACTTTGTGGCTCAGCCCGTCTGTGTGTGTGCCTTATGAAGATAAATAAGAGAACAGAAAGCATACGGTATCAGTGTTTTGTATATTTATTTGGAGTTTTTTGTTTTTTTGAGACAGGATTTGCTATGTAGTTCAGCCTGGCCTTGATTCACTGTGTAGCCCAGGTTGGCCTTGAACTTACAGCTATCTCCTGCCTCAGCCTTCCCAGTTCTGGGATTACAGGCGTGCACCCCCATGCCTGGATTACAGATATCTTATTTAAACCATGATGTTTGATCCAGCTGTGGAGATGCTGCTGTAAAGTGCAGCAGTTTTTTTTTTTTTTTTGCAGCACCTGTGCTGAAACTCAGGGCCTCGGGCATGCAGGCCACGGCCTCCACCGCTGAGCCACAGCCTTGATGATCTTTTCCAGTTTGGTTTCAGACCGTTGCTTAAGCTTTCTAAACTTAGACGTGGGCCCCTGCCGTGTGTGTAGGGATTCCCAGACCCCATCAAACCCACAACCTCAAATGTGCTGCTCTTGGGCACTCTTGATGCTGGACATTTACCCTATGTCCTATAAATGAGGCCTGCTGGAGGTCGGAGAGCGTCACTGAGGGTTTGGGCCTCGCAGTTTTTTCAAGAAGGAGAACAGAAGAAAGCAGTCAGTGGTAGTTTTCTGGGTACACTCAGATCACAGGGCACCTACCTGGCTCCTCCAGGGGTTCCGTTTTCACAGAGATGGGGACATAGCTGCAAGGACAAGGGTACCCTGGTCAGGACAGCTGTGAGAATACACAGAACCTGAGACCTGGCCCCTAGCTTGCCGAGCCCCACACCCACTCGACAGTGCCTGAGCTCTGCCAATCTGTCAGCGCCTTGCATGTTACAGAATGAAAGGTGTCAGTTGTGTAAATCTGGTAAGCCTGTTGCCCTTTTCAAGGAAGACTATTTGAAATAAGCATATTAACTCTTCCTGTAATTTATTCATTTGTTTTTTACTTTTCCTGTAATTTAAAATGTTACTTCCCTCACTTTATTTTATTTTTTGTCTTTTTGAGATAGGGTTTTGCTATGCAGTTCAGGGTGGCCTTGAATTCACTTTGTAGCCCAGGTCGGCCTCAAACTCACAGCAATCCTCCTGCCTCAGCCTCCCGAGTGCTAGGATTACAGGCGAGCACCACCTCACCTGCCTCCCCTGTGCTCTAAATATTGAGTTTTTCCACCTTCTACAAACTAGCACTGTGCGGTCACATGCAGAATTTGCCTCTTCTCTCTCTCCCTCCTCTTTTGTGGTACCAGGGATTGATACTACACTTGATCTTAGCTAAAAGGCTGAGGAGTGATGGTACTGGGGATTGAACTTGGGGCTGTTGAGCTACTTTCCCAGCCACCCCCTTTTATTGTATTTTTAATTTTGGATCAGGGTCTCACTAAGTTGCCCAGCCTGGGCTTGAACTTGTGATCCTCCTACCTCAGCCTCCCAGAGTGCTGGGATGGCAGACGTATACCTCCTCACCTAGCTCAGACATGGAATTACTTTATGATTTATTCTTGTTTTTTTTTTTTTGTCTTTTTCGTTTTTATCGGTACCGGGGACCGAACTCACGACCGCCTGCTTGCAAGGCAGGTGCTTATGCCGCTGAGCTAAATCCCCAGCCCCTATGATTTATTCTTTACCTTTCCTTTGGTAATGGCATGGACCTCTCAGCATCTGTCACTGTCCCATGGCCACCTGTGGGAAGTAAGACACAGGTCCTCTCAGTCCCTAAAACGTGACCAACATTCAAAGACACTCATGTTGAAAAACAAACATGGAGAAGATAGAGTGCCTGGCACAGCCACCACGGACAGGAACAGGGAGGGAAACCAGCTAGGGACCGATGTGTTGGGAGTCTCACTGTGCCCAAGATGGCCTCAGACTTGCTGTGATGCTCCTGCCTCAGCCTCCTGAGTGCTGGGATTATAGGCATGCAGCACCATGCCCGCTCCTTGGCAATATTTACACGGCATGTATGTAGTGAATTTGGTCCTGAGTCCTGTAGAGATGGGGTACTGTTCTGTCTCATGCTCACTACTGCTGTGTTCGAATCTGGTAACAAAGGTGTGAGTCAAGCCTGATGACACCTGATCACCTGCTGTCACCCTGGGCCCCTCCTTTCATGTGAGCTGGAGACCAGGGACTCACAGTGGCTCCAGAAATGGGTTCTGCCCACAGCCCAGGAACTCTGAGCCTGGACAGTATCCTCTGTTCCCAGGCTGTCCCTCAACTGTGTGGTCCCTGCCCAGGCCACCTGCACCACACCTAAGTCACCTGGGCATGACACACTCTGAACCTGGTCTGGGGTCCCAGTTGCATGCCAAGAGAATTTGAGGAAATCAGAGTGGTGCAGCCGGGACTCAGGGATACTGTGGCAGCTACTTTTTGGGGTGGGGCCCCTGCATCACCAAAGTCAAGACACCATGATGGGCTCTGGATCCCCCGTGATCAGCTACATGGCTTTCTGACTATATACCTGTCAAGGTTTCCCGAGAATCAGCTGGTGGGGACTCCACTTATCTCTGCCTGCTCCTGTTACCCCCTTTTCTGCAGTGCTGGTGATGGGATCCAGGGCGCCTTTTCACTGAGCTGTATCCCCAGCTCCACCTCACTCTGGAGACAGTATCTCCTTATGTTGCACAGGCTGGGCTCAAACCTGCGATCCTCCTGCCTCAGCCTCCCAAATAACTGGAATAACAGGCGTGGGCCACTGTGCCCAGACTGTAGTAGGTTTGGAAATGGAAGTATGAGACTTCCAACTCTGTTTTTTTTTCCATATTGTTGTGGCTATCCACGGTCCCTTGTGTTTCCATACAAATCTCTTTGCAGTTTTTTTTTGTACCGGGAATTGAACTCATGACCTAGCGCTCGCCAGGCCGGCACTTATGCCATTGAGCTAAATCCCCAGTCCAACGTTTCCATACAAATCTCAGGAGCCTTCTGGTCCGTGAAGCTGAGAGGTCGTTCCGTTTATTCAGCGCAGACTCTGTGAAGCCCAGACCTTCCCGCCCTGTCCAGGGCTTATGGGGACTGCCCTCCTTCGGTGCCTCAAGAGCAACAGAGTGCCTCTCTCTTGTCCCTTGAGTAGAATCTCAGGTCCAGGTCCCCTCCCAAGCCCAGCAGTTCCTGGCCTTGGTCCGGCTGGGACTCAGAGGCTACATGTTGACCCAGAGCACCTATGCACTTGGGTGACACAGACATGGTGGGTCTCACTCTCCTTCCTGGTCTGGAATTAGAAGCCCCCGGGAAGGGGGTGGTGGGACAAAGCCTGAGTTCCCATATTCACAAGTGCCCTAGAGATACCTACCCTGCCCTGGATGTCAATGAAGAGAATCCAAAAGATGTGTCCAGCCAGCTGGGCATGCTGGTGCACACCTGTAACCCCAGCACTCTGGGAGGCTGAAGCAGGAGGGTCACAAATTCCAGCCCAGCGTGGGTGACATAGCAATTTCATGAAACCTGGTCTCAAAATGAAGAACAAGGGCTGGTACCGTGGTGCACATCTGTAATCCCAGCACTGTGGAGGCTGGGCCAGGAAGATCGCTGTGAGCTCACAGCCAGCCTGGATTACAATATGAATTCAAGGCCAGCTTGAACTGCATATTGAAACCCTGTCTCAGAAAAGACACATGCGTGCATGCGTACACACACACACACACACACACAAAGACACAAAAATAATAATAAATAATAATCAAATAATACCAAAGGGCTGGGGATGTAGATCAGCACAAAGGCCCTGGGTTCAATGCCCAGCACTGGAAAAATAAAAACCAAGTTGTGCCCAAGCATGAATAATGATGCTAGGTAGGGGGGCAGGGATGCGAGGTGGTCACTTACCTAGCTGGTTGTCTGCACCCAGGAAAGGCCTGCAGGAAAACCAGCATGGTCAGCCAGTGGCACACACGTGACATGTGTGACAGTCAGCAGATACAGGCACAGGCACGAAGGAAGCGTGCCTGGGGCAGCCTGGGCGGGTCACCTGTTTATGACGAAGGAAATCCCTGCTTTGTGCTCCAGCACCCACTGCAGAGTCGGCAAATCGTAATTGTCAGGGTGCTGCAAAGGCGCACCCTCTGGAAGTCCCCGCACCACCACAGCTGCCGGGTCCCGCAGCATCTGCTCGTAGGGGACGGGCACCATGGTTGTCATCCCCAGTGCTTTGCCTAGGAGAGGAGGCAAATGGCTCTCAATATGAGCTTAAGATCCACAGCGGGCTTCACACCATGTCATAAACTCAGGTGGTTGTGTGTGGCTTTGAAGGTGACATTAAACAGATAAAAGAGCCATGCTTCGTGGTACACCTCTAATCCCAGCACTCGGGATGCCAAGGTAGGAGCACCACAAGTTTACACCCAGCCCGGGGAAGTTGGCAATACAGCAAGACCTTGTCTCAGAAATACAAAGGTCTGGGGATCCAGCTCTGTGCCAAGGCCCTGGGTTCAATCCTGAGCCAATCCCTAACAATAGGTCCAAACTTCGGAGGCCACAGCATGGGGCTTGCAGAGGTGGGGTCATGAGACAATGTATGACTGGTGGGGTTCACATGGGTTGGAAGGGACTACACTGCCATCGATGGAGCACTTGGGCTCTGGTTCGAGTGCAGGTATGTATGGGGCTTAAATGCATGTGACACCTAGCACAGCCACGCTGACCCTGCGCCCGGCCCACTCAGCGACCTGCGGATATGGATATTACCATAGCACAGGCCAAAGTAGTCTTCTACTGCCTTCCTGAGGGTCTCCACCTCCCCCGAGCCGACCTGCATCCCACCGGCCGGGCATGGAAACTTCTCCTCACCCAGCCCTTCTGTGGCACCTGCAGGCACAAGAGGGACAGGTCAGCAGCCTGCATGTATACCTGCACTGTGCCCTTCCCTACGGCCGTGCCACTGCTGTTGACAGGAAGAAGGGAAGAAAAGGAACAAGCATGCAGAGAGTGGTGGCCCACGCTTGTCATCCTAGCACTCTGAGGCTGAGGTGGGAGAATGCTCACCTCAGTGACTTATCGAGACCCTGTCTTGAAATATAAAACAGCTGGGGACATGGCTCAGGGCAAAGGTGCTGGGTTTCAGGCTGGGGATTTAGCTCAGCGGCATAAGTGCCTGCCTTGCAAGCAGGCAGTCATGAGTTCGATCCCTGGTACCGATAAAAACGAAAAAGACAAAAAAAAAAAAAAAAAAAAAAAAGCAAAGGTGCTGGGTTTGATGCCTAGAACTATGAACCAATGTAATTAGCCTGTGAATGCAGAATCACATTTTTAAAGGCACATATGTAATATCTGCCACGATACATGATGTGCTGCATGATACGTCAGGTCTTGGTAAGTTCAAAAGGTCTGTGATCCTACAGAGCACACTCACAGACTACAGTGAGACTTAATCAGAAGCTAGTAACCAAAAAGTCCCCATGTGTTGGGAAATTAAACAACAGGCTTCCAGATAACCATAGGTCAAAAAGAAGTTACCGGGGATGTCCGAGATGATTCCAACTAAATGACAAGCAAACACAGCATTGTAGCATCAGCTCACATTGTAAGTTTGGTACATGTAATAAACCCCCAAAAAAATTCGAGTAGGGAAATAATAAAGAGCAACAATAAATCACAAGAAAATAAAGAATACTGAAATGTCAACAAAGCCAAATGTTGGCTCATTGTAAAGACTGATTAAGAGAGAGAAAAAGAAAATACAAATTATTAGTATCAGAAACAAATGCAGAGACACTGATATGGATCCTCTACGTTCAGGTAATGAACAGGAGACACTGTAAAGTGGGGAGACATCAGTGCCAGTCAGGGCGGACAGGACACCCTGTGTAGAATTTCACTCACACACACATGCATCACACATGCCTACCATCTGCCAACTGAATGGACGTATCTATGCAGCCATCTCTACTGGCACACATGCCACCCGCTGCAAAGGTAGAGACTCTAACTCAGAAGTGTGTGTGTTTTTGCTGGATGTGGAGTACACCCTTTCCTTTTGCAATCTTTGCTTCCTTTTTGTGAGATCGGAGAGAAATTGGGGAGCTTTAAACACTGTATTGACTCTGCCACTCAGTCTGTGCCTGTCATTCCAGCACTCTGGGCAGCTGAGGCAGAAAGATCACAAGTTCAAGCCTAGCCTGAGCACTTCATGACTTAAGGAGAACTTGTCTCAAAATAAAAACTAGAAGGGGCTGGGGCTGTAGCTAGGTACAGAGGCTCTGCAGTCAGTCTCTGGTACCCCAAAACAGAGCAACCAAGGGAAAGACGACTAACTGTACAAATGGTAATTAACAACAAAGTAAGACCTGGGCCAGGATATAGGCTGCACAGCACCTGCTGGCAAGCTCAAGGTCATGAGCTTGATTCCTGGTATGGAAAAAAAAAAAAAGGAAGACCAGTCCTAGCTGGCCCTGGAAGAGTTTTTCCAATTTTTTGGAGAAGGACTAACACCAGAATATTTCACAAAATGTGGGTTTATGTTACAAATTTTTTTTTTTTAATTTAAGAGGAAAAAGAGAAAAACACAAAACAAACCAAAGCGGCGTAAGGGTACACGCAATACAGAACTACAAAACAAAACAAAACAAAACAAAACAAAACAAAAAACCATAACAGTAAGAAATTACCTGCTAGTAGATTACACACTATTTTCTTGAAAATAGTTCCTCAAATCACAGTATCAAAGAACACAAGGTGGACATTCAAACAGGGAGACTGCAAACAGCTGTGTTCAATGTTCCAAAAACATTGATAAAGTCAGCTATTTAACACCCCCAAACACACTTGCTGTTATATCCGTTAGAGCTCTTTTTCTTTTTTTTTTTTTCCCTCTCTTTTTTACAACAAAATTTACACATCTTGGATTTTATTACTCCTTAGTGCTTATTACTTTCTTTGGGGGGGGTATGTTACAAATTAAATTAAATACACATCATATTCTTCAGATTGATTTTGCAAACCCAGAGGACCACAGAGAGCAGAGCACAAACCAGACACCCTTATTTTGGCCTTTTAGTGTGAAGCAGACTCCTCTGTCATGTCCAGCAGAGCAGGTCCATCAGAACCACAGGATGGGAGCTGTGGGTCTCAGGATATGCTACATAGGTCTGGACTGCAAATTTTCTTTTCCCCTTTGGTGCTTTGACATAGGGTCTTGCTAGTCCATTCAGACTGGTCTTGAACTCACTATGTAGTCCAGGTTGGCCTCAAACTCAAAGCAATCCTCCTGCTCAGCTTCCCAAGGGCTGGATTACTGGCACGAGCCACCATGCCTGGCTATGCCCACAACATTTATGAGAGGTATGAGGGATAGGGACAGGATTGCAAGCACCTACAGTATTGTGCAAAGTCTTTCTGCAGATCTGTTCGGGCGCTGACGAAGGCACGGCCTCGCTCAGTGCCCACCACAAACACGTCTGCCTCATATACAGCGATGCAGGCCACCTCGGCCTTGGACTTGGCCAGTTCTTTGCACTGTAAGAGAAGCACAGAACACGGCACATGGCAGATGATAGGTTCACGGACAGACACAACGCAAAATTAGGACAACTGCAAATACTTGCTGAGAATGAGAAAAATCAAGAGAAACATCAATTGAGTCCATACTGTAAATGTCACCAAACCTGGAGGAGAACATGTATTTATTTATGGCCTGGTATCCTCTCTAATACGCTTTTTTTCCAGTGTGTGAAGCACTTTTGGTTGGATGTTTGTTGATTATTCATGCGGGAGCAGAGCCCAGTAGCAGAGTACCTGCCTGGCATGTGCCAGGCCCTGGGTTCAAGTTCTGGCATGCACCACAAAAAAACAAAACAAAATTTAAAAACCAATCACAAAAAGGATTTACCCAAGGATTAAACCCAGGCCTTTTGCATAGAGCTATATCCTCAGTTCTTTTAATTTAATTAAGTTAACTAATTTATATATATAGGGTCTTGCTTTGTAGTTCATGCTGGTCTCGCCCTTACAGCAAACCTCCTGCCTCAGCCTCCTGAGTGCTAGTACTACAGGCCTATGCCACTATCCCCAGAATACTCAGGCCTTTTAAACTTTTAAGATTTTGAGAAAAAGGCTCACTAAATTGCTAAACTGTTCAGGCTGGGCTTAACTTTCCTGCCTCAGCCTCCCAGACTGCTGGGATTACAGTGTCCACCATGCCCAGCTGGCAATTTTGTGTTATACTTTTCTGTGGAGGGACAGTTGACTGTCCCTTCCAGCACAGTTCTCTGAGGACTCAGCGTCTTCCCCTTTATTACTGTTGATGACAGAGAAGCAGAATGTGTGATTCCTAACACAGACACACTTGCTGTTCATGGTGGTGCTGCAGGTTTATGCCCTACCGACCCAAGAATGCCAGAATATGCTACAGATCCTCCATTTATATCCTGTTAATTTAGTGGTTGCAGGGATTTTACAGACCCGCTTCTGCCCTGCTGTCCATGTCCACTGTGTTCCTGCCTGCACACGAGCTCCAGCCTGAGCCCTGTGATCACATCCCCTTCCACGCTGACACAGGGATGAGGGAAGTTCCAGGAGCCAACCCTACGCACACCTCCTCACCCGCACAGAGGAACCTCCCGCTAGACTGAACGTGTCCCCAACTCCCCTTCCTCTGTGGAGACACCCAACGTGCCTGTGTCCACTGTAGCACCAAGGGACATGGCGGTTGTGGGAGGCAGAGTAAAGGCCCCCAGCCTGGCGCAGTGGGCCCACACCAGTCATCCCAGCGCTCTAGGGGGCGGAGGCAGAAGGACTACAAGTTCAAGTCCAGACTGGGCAATTTAGTAACTTACTGAGACCTTGTTTTAAAATCTAAAAATGTAAGAGGGATGCAGCTCAGGGCAAAGGTCTTGGGTTCAATCCCAAATACTGCAAAAATAAAATTAAATAAATAAATAATAGATAAATAGATAAATAGATAAATAGATAAATAAATAGATAAATAGATAGATAGATAGATAAATAGATAGATAAATAAATAAATAAATAAATAAATAAATAAATGCATGAATAATGCAAGAAGCCCAGCATCCTCCAAGGGCTTCTCTCCCAGATGAGGTGTGGATGCAGTACTGTGTCTCGGTGACCCCACTGCGGAGTGTGTGACAGGACCACAGGCCGCCTCACCATGGACTCGAGGGCAGACATGAGGAAGGTCACCACCATCCTGCTCTCTGAGGACTCAGCGTCTTCCCCAGGTGGCACAGGCAGTGCGACTTGCGCCATAGTTCCTGTGCAAGAGAAACAACGAGGAAGTGAGCAGGAGAAACTAGGGTGCTTTTCAGGGCCAGGGACCTCCTCTCTGATCCGTCAAACCTTCCTGGAGAGTGGGAGGAAGAGCTCATGGCAAGGTGGGAAGCCAGGCCTGGCCATGCCTGTAATCCCGGCACGCAAGAGGCTAAGGCAGGAGGATTAGTAGGAGTCTGAGGCCAGCCTGTACAGAGAGCCCTTCCTGGACCTTATCACTGCCCAGGCAGTTTGTGTAATAATCGAATGAAAAAGTTACTAGAATCCCAGCAGGTTAATTCCAATCTACTACTTCCCATGCAACCCATGGCCACAACAAAGACACTAAGGCATGTTATAGTTGAGAGCCAAGGGGGTCCTAAGTCCAGCTGGGGTGTGATTGATTTGAACAAAGGCCTCCACCCAGAGCAGACCCCGGGTTTTATTCATTTGTGAAGGGAGTGGCTCGAGTCTCAATTCCAGCGTGGGCCCTGGCTCTCCTTTCTGCCGGGCTCAACATGTTTTTTGAGCTACAGAAGGGGCACACCCTTGCTTCAAAGACTACAGTACATTAGCACCTCGCTAGACTGACCAGCATTGCTTAGAGCTAGTTGAAGAGAAAAGGAAAAGGCCATCTCTGTACATACATGTACTGACATGTCCACAGGGCCAGGCTTAGCCAACATGGAGATAATTGTTCTTTCTTCAGGGACAGCTGTGCAGGCAGTCCACTACAAGCACACACTATACAGCATGACCTGTCTCAAACAGCAGCAACGGAAGACAGGAGGCTGGGTGCACCAGCCTCCCCGAAACCTGCTGCTCTGCGGGGGGACCCACTGTACCTGAGAGAACATCAGTCCCTTCTGTGGGCGTTGCTCCAAGGTGCTCCCCACTTCCCCTGGGCCTTACCACCCCATGCTTCCAGTACACAAACCCTCAGAGGACCAGAGTTTGAGCCACCCCTGACAGTACAGCCAGCCAGCTTGGAGCTGTCTCTGAGCCCAGAGGATCTGTCCTGGTCGGAAGGGATAGTTTTTCTCCTAGATTTCTGTTTGGAGTATTGGGGCACCAGGGATGTAAGCACACTGAGCTCATACTGAACCCCTGCGCTGCGCTGTTAGCCCCTCCAGGGTTGGTACCAAAAGGTTTGCTCTTAAGAGTTCTTGTCCAGTCGTGACAGTGACACTTGTTGCCTCTGAGATCCCCACATGCGCTGGGTACTGTGCGGATGCCGGTTGCTTGTGCTCCAGCCCAAGGACCGTAAGCTGATGGCACAGGCACTGCTGTGTGGCCACGCCCTGGGGTCACTGAGCACTTTGCGCTGGGCACTGCTCTGCCCATGAATCAGCCTGTGATGTTGGGAGCCCTACACACCAGGTGGTCCCTGAGCAACTGAGGCCACTTAAGGGCTTCATCTGCCCCTCTGACAGCAGCACAGTAGAAAATGCCAATGATATACAAATAACTTCCACTTAGTCCAAGTTTGCGGGTCAACCAAAGTTCTGTTAAAGGAGACACCACATGGCGTACCTCTATGGCCCTTGCTAATCCTGAGTGGAAAGGTGCCGCCTAAGGCTGCCTCTGAAACACACAAACTGCGCCTCTGAGCACTTACACGCAGACTAACACCATTTTCTGCCACTCATATTACTAGGGGCCCTAAGAGGACTGTGGTGTTGGCACTGCAGCTCTGGGGTGCACTCTTGCCATGCAGGTTTGAGGCCCTCACTTCAAGCCTAGCACTGCAAAAGCAACAACAAAAAACAAAACAACTTTAGTTTTGCCGCCTGAAATCCCAGCACTCTGAGAGGCTGAGGCAGGAGGAATCCAAATGGGCAACTTAGTGACTTAGGAGACCCTGTCTCAAAATAAAGAAAAAGGGGGATATAAATCAAAACAACACTGAGATTCCATCTTACTCTAAAAAGAAGAGCTATCATCAAGAATTCAAAAGCAAAAACAAAGCAAAACAAACATCCTGCTATTGAGGTGGTAGAGAGAAAGGAACTCTTCTACATTTTTTTTTCTATATTCCTGGGAGGAATATAAACCAGTATAACCACCATGGAAATCAGGATAGAGATTCCTCAAAAACACTAATACTAGAAGTTCCAGTCAACCCAGCTATACCCCCTAGGTATCTTCCCCAAAAGTGCATCCGCAGTGACCTGTGCATCCATGCTTACAGCAGCACAACTCATAACAGCTGAATCGTCAACAGATGAATGGATAGAGCACATGCAATATTACACGCCCTGGAGTACCACTGTGCCATAAAGAAGAATGGAGTTGAGTCATCTGTAGGCAAATGGATGGATCTTGAGACCATAATGGTAAGTAAATGAGACACAGAGGGTTAAATATTGCATGATTTGTCTTATATAAAAAGCCCAAATTGTAAATGATTTAAGGAGCAAAACAAAAGAATGATAGGAAATAGCCAGAGTCTGTGGGGATGGGGAGATGGGAGAGACAGGAAGAGGAAGTAAAAAGGATCGAAATGCCAGATGTATCCAACCCAGTTCTTCACAATGAATGTGCTAATCACGTATCACGTATATACTAATCAAATTGGCTCTGTTGTTTTTCTTTTCTTTGTTTTTTTTTTGAGAAAAGATCTTACTATGTAGTTCAGTGTGGTCTGAACTGACAGCGACTCTCTTGCCTCAGCCTCCTGTGTGCTGGGAGTATGGTGTGTACTACTACGGGCTGTGTTTTAAAAAAAAACAAAACAAATAAAAATGGGCTAGGGGTAGGTAGCTCAGTGTGAATCTTTGGGTTCAATATTCAGTACTGAAAAAAACAAAACAACTCTTTTGGTTCTTAACAAAGAATAAAACAGGCACAGTGACAAGGTAGAGCTCAAAACAAGATACTGTCAGTGGGCATCACTGCACTACCAGAAAGACTGAGAAGCAGGGCTGTCGCCAGGGCGGCCTTTGTCCGTGTCCTTCCCAGAAGGATGCATGGAAGCGGGAAGCTGTCTTTTCTGTTCTGCAACAGGAGCCAGCACGAGGCTCCCATCCTGGGGAAAGTTCCCATTCCGACAGTGAGGTTGGGCCACAAACCAGTCTCCCAGAGCCTGCGTGGTGCTTAGCTCCTTCTCCGTTTATAGCTGGAGTCACAGCAGTGTCCATTTACATCGCAGGCTTCACACACTAATCAACTGTGGTGCTTTCTCTCCTTCCCTCCCCCTCTCTCATTCATTCCTTCATTCATTCATTTAGTGGCACAGGGGACAGAACCCAGAGCCTTCACACTGTTACCTCCCAAGCCCCCCCCCCCTTTTTTTTGAGACAGGGTCTTGCTCAAACTAGGCTGGGGCTTGTGGTCCTCCTGCCTCAGCCTCCCAGAGTGCTGAAGTTACAGTCTGCCCACACTAACTTTGCTCCTTTAAGCTAACTAACACACCCTCTAACTCACACTAGTTTTCCCAGCTGTCCTTATGCCCTTGTTCTCTATCCCCATGTACCAGTTTACTAATGAAAAGCAAACAGCTGGCAAGGGAGCACCAGAAAACCTGTAGGTCTAATGCAGACAGCTGTGTTTATAAATAAAGTTTTATTGGGACACAGGCATGTGCATTTGTTTGCACGTCTGTGGCTGCCTTCTTGCAGGACAGGGAAGAATGTCACAGGGCCATGTCAATACACTGCATCCCTGATGTAGAACTGACATCCATTGCTTACAAAGGTACCTGCTCACTGCTCCTGTGAGACCCTGCAGGAAGCAGAGGGAAGGGATACAAGTGACCAGAACACAGCACCTGCGTGGTCAGCGAGGGCCACCTATGTACACACACACAGGTTGCACTGCAGGTGACCAAGGCAAGAGCCAGGCACCTGGAAATGGTCCAGCGCTAGTGAGAACAGAATGAGCAGCAGGAATAAGGAGGCATGCAGGCAGCTGGACAAAGAGGACAGGCAGTCCAGGCTGGGGTGTGGGCAGAGGCCCTGGGCTCAGGGCAACCAGGGCTGGACCCCATGGCAGAGCACTTGCCTAGCGTGCACAAGGCCCTGCATTCTGTTCCCAACACTGCAAAAGAGAAAATGGAAAAAAGAGGCTGGGTGTGGTGGGCCACAGGTACAATCTCTGCCTCGTGGGAGGCTGAAGCAGGACGATCTCAAATTTGACCCCAGCTTGGGCAGAAAGAGGTGGGGGTATAACTTAGTGCAAAGACCAGGCATTCCATCCCTAGCAACATTAAAAAAAGAAAGCAGTGGTAGTAAGAGCTCTTGCCTTGCATGTACAAAGCGCTGGGCTAGAGCCCCAGTACCACAGTAAAACAAAATACAATAAAATAACAGAAAAAAGAACAAGCCAAGCCAAGCGGGGAGTAGGGGGCAGAATCTGACCCACTTAACCGCCATCCCGAATCACCAGGCGGCAGGAGAGGGAAAAGGCCGCTGGATTCTTCAGTCCAAGCCACAAGCCCTGTGTGCAGCTGGCTGGTTTCCAGTTTCATATCCAGACATCTGTTTCCTTTAAATTGCCAATATGAAACAAAAACTTTTTTCCCCCCTTAAACACACAAAGGTTGATTCATGTTTATCCAGAATGGCTATTAACAAAAAGACACAAAATAATATCCCAGGCAAGGCTGCAGAGAGAGGAGGCTCTCCACACTGCCAAGGAGTGGACAGAGGACCCATGAGGACAGAAAGCAGTGCCAGTCGCTGCTGAAAAAGGAGAGAGAACTTTCACCAGCTCTGTCCCGGAGCCCTGCTGTGGAGTCTGCGGTCCAAAGGACTGAATCTGCATTTGCGTGGCTCCCATGTCACCAATCAAGATGTGTGATGCACGGAGGTGTCCATCCCTGAGTAAATGCATACAAACACGGGGGAGGAGGGTCGGGGGTGCACACACCAGGGGACAGTTTGCAAGGGAAAGGAATGCAATTTTGCAGCAAAGTAGACAGATCCAAAAACACTATGTTTAGCAAATAAACAAGACATAGAAAGGCAAAGACTGCGTGGCTCCTTGTGTCTGGAAGCTCAAGTTGACCTAACAAGTGTAGCAGGCAGGATTTAGAGGCTGGGGTGGGGGTGGAGGTGGTATGGAGGGGTTGAGAAGAGAGGTTAAGGGATACGGGGCAATGCTTGAAAAATGGGACCTTTTGTCCAGGAATGGTAGAAATGACACCAGGCCAAATATCACAGCAAATGCACTTCTGCATAGGAAAGCTTAGCAGGGGGCAGGGAGAGGGTATTCATCAACTGGGGCTCTGGCTGAAGGGACTGCTCCCCAGACAGAAGGAGATGGCTTCTATGGATTTGCCAGAGTGTGCTGATGTCTGGTCACTCCCACTGGACTGGTTCCAGAGATGTTTCTTATGCCAGGCATGGTGATGCATGCCTATCATCCCAGCACTTAGGAGGCTGAGGCAGGAGAATCACTGACATTTCAAGGCTAATATGAGCTATATAGTAAGCTCAAGGCCAGCCTGAACTACATATTAAGACCCTGTCTCAAAAAAATTGCAGAAAAATATTTCTTCTTGTGACAGACATGGACCACTGAGAGACTGCAATGACGTGTCCTAGAGTTACTGGCTTTAATGGAGCTGATGCCACTGTCCTGCACACAGCACCCTCACCCTGTGTGTCTGCCCCCCAGGAAAGGTCCCAGATTTCGGATGGGTGGGCTTCTGTGGCTTCTGCACACAGGAATGGGACAGAAAAGAGGGAAAGAAAAAAACTATCAGCTCCAGTGGACTACCATACAGGTGAACCTATATTGTCATCTGAGACCAAACACACTTCAGTGACCAGCCTGCAAGGGCAAAGCTGACCCACAAGTTAGCAAGGGGACAGACATCAAGATAGAGGTGCCATGGGGCTGGGGGTTTAGCTCAGCGGTGTTAGCTCAGCTTGGCAAATGTGAGGTTGTGAGTTCAATCCCCGGTACCAAAATAAATAAATAAACAAATAAATAATAAAATATATATATATATATATATATATATATATAGAGAGAGAGAGAGAGAGAGAGAGAGAGAGAGAGACTGAGAGAGAGATGCCAAACCTTTTTAGTCACCTGTGTGGGTGGATGGCTTTGTTTTACTTTGTTAAAACTGTAATTTGCAGTCAATTATTTCCTGATAAGGTAGTACATTAGTTTTGCCTGTACAACATGTGGACTGTGACCCCTTGGTCTATCACACAGAAGATGCTTCAGCCCACCCTAGCAAATCAATAAAACCCCAGGGCTCTTTCTGTTCTGGAAGCAGAGGCTTGGCTACTCTCCTGACCAACTGCTGACTCTCTTCCGCCAAATTGGGGTTCAAGAAGAAGAAAAAGGGAGGGAGATATAGCTCAGCAGCACAGCACCTGCCCTGCAAGTTCAAGGTTGTGTTTGATTCCTGGTAACAAAAACAAACACAAACAAACAAACAAAAACCAAAAAACAGTAGACAAGTCAGGCATGGTGACACATGCCTGTAATCTCAGCACTTTGGAAACTGAGGCAGGAAGATTACGGCAAATTCAAGGCCAGCCTGGGCTACAAAGTGAGTTCAAGGCCAGCCTGAAGTGCATAGTGAGACCCTGTCTCAAAAACAAAACAAAACAAAACAATAGTAGGATTTTGAATGTTCCCAACACAAAGAAATAGTAAATACCTGGGGTGATACCAATTACCTGCTCTGACCATTATCCATCATACGCATTATTAAAATATCACATGGTACTCATAAGTATGTACAATTATGTTAACAGAAAACAAAAAAATATACTAACAAAAACACCCACAAAGTTTGGTCCAGCAATTTCTCTCCTTGGTAAACGCCTAAGAGAATTAAGAATAAATGTCAGGGGGCTGGGGATTTAGCTCAGCGGCATAAGTGCCTGTCTTGCAAGCAGGCAGTTGATCCCTGGTACCGATAAAAAGGAAAAAGACCAAAAAAAAAAAAAAAAAAAAAAAAAAAGAATAAATGTCCATACAGAGCCAGGGTGGCAGTACACGCATTTTTCAGCTAAATGGGAGAGCACCAAGTTCCAGGCCAGACTGGGCAAGATGGTCTCAAAATGAAGTATGAGAGGGTTAGATTATAGCTTAGTGGTCAATCTCT